GAGAAGGCCGCGAACAAGGGAATTGGCAAGCAGGAGGCCAAGAAGCCCGCTGCCAAGGCTCCCAAGAAGAAGATCGAGGGTGCTGCTCTGATCGGTATCGATGTCGCCAAGGAGGAGGATTTCCCTGGTTGGTACCAGCAGGTCCTGACCAAGGGTGATATGCTTGACTACTACGATGTCTCCGGATGCTTCATTCTCAAGGTGGGTTGTCATGTTCGCCCGGGAACCCGTCGACGACCTGTACTGATTTGCGCCAGCCCGCTTCCTACTTCATCTGGGAGGAGATTCAGCAGTGGTTCAACACTTACATCAAGAAGATGGGCGTCAAGAACTGCTCTTTTCCTCTTTTCGTGTCCGAGGATGTGCTGCAGAGGGAGAAGGATCACATCGAGGGTTTTGCTGCTGAGGTCGCTTGGGTGACACACGCGTATGTTTCCTTATCTCTAGACTCACCTTCATATAGACAAGTCACTGATAACCCGCTCTTTGCTACAGTGGTTCCACTCCTCTGGAGAAGAAGATCGCTATCCGTCCCACGTCTGAGACTGTCATGTACCCCTACTACGCCAAGTGGATCAGAAGTCACCGTGACTTGCCCCTCAAGCTCAACCAGTGGAACTCCGTCGTCCGTTGGGAGTTCAAGCACCCCCAGCCTTTCCTCAGAACCAGAGAGTTCCTGTGGCAGGAGGGTCACACAGCCCACCTGACCAAGGAGGGTGCTCACGAGGAGGTTATGACAATCCTCGACCTCTATGCTCGTATCTACGAGGAACTTCTGGCTGTTCCTGTTGTCAAGGGTCAGAAGACCGAGAAGGAGAAGTTCGCCGGTGGTCTCTACACCACCACCGTTGAGGGCTACATCCCCGCCACCGGTCGTGGTATCCAGGGTGGTACCTCCCACGGTCTGGGCCAGAACTTCAGTAAGATGTTCGGTATCACCGTCGAGGACCCCTCCGCCAAGAGCGACGACAAGGAGAAGGCCGCTCCTCTCCACGTGTGGCAGAACTCCTGGGGTCTGTCCACCCGTACCCTCGGTGTCATGGTCATGATCCACAGTGACAACCGCGGTCTCGTCCTCCCCCCTCGTGTCGCTGACACCCAGACCATCATCGTCCCCGTCGGTATCACCGCCAAGACCACTGATGAGGAGCGTAAGAAGCTTTACGGTGAGGTTGAGCGCCTCGTTTCCACCCTCCGCGACGCCGGCGTCCGCGCCGAGAGTGATCTGAGAGAAGGTTACTCCCCCGGCTGGAAGTTCAACGAGTGGGAACTCCGCGGTGTTCCTCTGCGTCTTGAGTTCGGTCCTGGCGAGCTTGCCGGCGGCTTCGTCACTGCTGCTCGTCGTGATGTCCCCGGAAAGGACGGCAAGGCTCCCATCCAGATCTCTGAGCTGTCCACCGCCGTGCCCGCTCTCCTGGAAACCATCCAGAAGGACTTGTACAACCGTGCCGACGCCGAGTACCGCTCTCACCGCAAGATCATCACCAACTGGGATGACTTCACCCCCGCCCTGAACGACAAGAACGTCTGCCTGATCCCCCACTGCTTGACCGAGGAGTGTGAGGACCAGATCAAGGACCTGAGTGCCCGCAAGCACGAGGAGGACTCCGGTGTTCCCCAGGATGCCCGCGCTCCTAGCATGGGTGCCAAGTCTCTCTGCATTCCCTTCGACCAGCCCGAGGGCATCGTCCCCGGCGAGACCAAGTGTACCAACCCCCACTGCACCCGCTTCGCCGAGAAGTGGTGCATGTTCGGACGTAAGTTCATATCCAGATTCCCTACTTTGCTCACCCACAATATATCTAACATAATCATCCCAACAGGCTCGTACTAAACGCAATCTACTACTACTACCGTGTTGGATCCGGATGTTTCATTTAATTTTTTTTTCTTTTTAAAAATTTTTCTATCATCCAGTTTCCTTCCTTCCTATGACTGTTATGACTTTTCCATTCCTGCCAATACAGTTTCACGTTGAGTTCGACATAGGGACCCTAAAAAGAAATCCACGAGCGTCTTCGTCAGAAAAGACAAAGAACAGATAAAAAAAGAAACAAGTGAAATTCAGGAGTTTAGATGCATACAATTGCATGGATGATGCGAGTTGGGTGGGGCAGATATGATATTCCTTGAGATACCTTTCATCGGTTTACCATCGGGGGAGTCAGATATAGGTCGTTTCAGTAGCTAGCGAGTTGAATTGAAAGAACCATGTTTTTGATATAATCTCTTTTTATTTATAGTATGGTTGTATTATCTTATTTTTTCAGGTGATGACAAGGACTGGTTGCCTAGTAGTTTCGCTGGCGAGGAATAGAAAGAAATAGTGAGTGTGACAGAGAAGGATACAGAAGAGTGAGCGCTAGGACGCTTGAAAATGAGAGATGCAGTGTAAAGAAAATATGCGGATTCCATGCCGAGAATAAGGAATGGGTGATGAAAGTGACCGACTAAGAGATGAAAGCTGAATGCCGTATGCAAAGTGAAATGACTGTGGTTTGTATAGAAACGATGAGAGAGCGCGTGGGCGGAGTGTTGAGGGTCACTCGTGGGGTTGTAGGGATCGAAAAGTGTTTAGTCTGCATGTGTTTCATGAGACTATCATATCAGGTGAAGGGTGGGAAGAAGCGAATTAATGATTATAGGTTGTAAAAGAGAGTGGACATGATGGTGCTGTTTTCTTTTCGGAACACGACGAGGGGTATCATTGTCAAAGAGGAGGGGTATGGGAGTATCAAGAGAGTGAAGCATTAGCAAGAAAGCAGCAGTCAACGAGTCTGCACCCAGTGCGGTGACCTAGAACTGCTGTCCATTTCTGGACGAAGTTCGCGAAGGGATCCGCTCGCTGGAAAGGGCGTTTTTGCTGTACGCATTGGGACTTGATTTCCGCGGCCAGTTCATGAGGCGGTACGCGTTGCGCGGAGTCGTGTTTCTAGCCATGTAGGTGACGTTGTTCTGATCGACACCCTGGATGCAGACGTGCGGTGTCCCGCCAACGCTGGGTAGTTGGATGATTTCTTCGTCGTCGCTGTCGTCTTCTGAGTAGCTGATCTGGCTGATTCTGACTGGGGAGGCTTGTGCGCGCATGCGGAGGACTGATGGGGCACCGCTCATGTTTGTTAGGTTGCCATGGGACGAGTTGGTTCTCATGGATACAGCGCGGCCTGAGTTGCTTGGAGGTTGGCGGAACGATTGAAGTAGATCCATGTAGATCATTTCCTCCTGAGGGCTCTCCATCTTTTGCTGCTTCGTCTCCCTGTTGCCGAGAACTCCTGGGGAGGGGAGAGGAGCATCAGTGTGCCTGCGTCGACTTGTTGTCTGTGTGGCCCGGAGAGTCGTCACGGGAACGCTCGTGGAGATGCTTCTGCGCTGCTCAGGGGTTCTCTTGTGCTTTTTGAAGGAGCTTTTGCGAATGAGTTTCGAGAATTGTCCTTCTTTTGAAGAGAGGCTCCGTTCCAGACCAGGCGCGGGGCACAATGGCACATGAGGAGCCCTGTCAAAGGATTCCTGAGACGGCGAAGGAGTGAGTGAGGGTTCAGTGGGGAAGGAAATGCGCTGAAAGGCCTCGTGAGAATTGATCTCCCTGACAATAGCATCTTGGAGACTCTCAAAGGTAGGGTGTGGTGTGACCTCATGGGTCGAAGCAAAAGCCTGCCTGAACATGTCCATAATCTCGATGACTTTGTCGTTGGACGGAGCCATGGAGGCGATGGATGTTGGTGTTCCCACAGGGAGAGGGCTGTTCATAACCTCCGCAATGCTAGGAGCTTGCTTGGGATCGACAGCACTGGGAGTAGGCGGCTGTATCGCCCGATGTGCAATTTTCGCAGTTGGACTTCCTCGAGCTGCTAGCTTTGTGTTTATAGAAAGGTCTCGGATGTTCTTCTTGCTTCCTTGACGAGGGGATGCTGGAGGAGTGCTCTGTGTATCCTGAAAGGATTCAGTCTCGCTCGTACTGTCACTACCAATAGATAGTGGTAGTGTTGGGCTATCAGGTAGGGGCGTATTGCTCCACTTGTCGCCTTGTTTGTGAGCAGGAGGGATGCCCAAGTATCCATTCGAACTCGAAACTGATTCTTCCCTAGGCGCATTGTTCCGTTCAGCCAGCAAGTCAGGGGCAGACCGCTGAGATCGCAGGGAGCTTCTCTGAAAGGCGCCTTCCCTCGAGGAGCCAGGGCGCTCCTCGGTACGCAATTGAGGTACAGAGACCGAACTCTCCGGAGAGGTTGACCGCGCCAACCGCGTGCTTTTCCCCCGTGACTGCGGACGATCCCTAGTATTGTCTACATACCTCTGTGAGCCCTGCCGGGAACGAGGTGGTGTAGCTTGAGAGCGCGAGCTAGTACTGCGGGGAATGGAGCGACTGCTGCCTCTACTCGAGATATTCCGGTCTGCTACGTCTTCCTGGTACAGACTTGAGACCGGATGCGAGTAGGCGTTTTTGAGCGCCAGTCCTCTTAAGAAGGGCGCCATGTTCCGTTCGGCTATGTCTTCATTGTATGGTGTGATCGGCGACAAGGTGCTGCTGCTTTGGATGTGATACCGGTGTGAGGAGAACAAAGCATCAAGCAGATCAACGTGCCGGGTGACCTTCCCCGGAGGGCGAGTTGATGCCCGAGATGGAGGCGCATGCGAACGAGAGGATAGGGGCCTTGACTGTAGCTGATTGTGCGTTACTTCACACTGCTCTGCAGGCGTCTGGTCATGAACTCCCGCGGCCATGCGCCGGGATGTCTTCATGTTGGGCAAGCCGTGATCATCGCCTCCTACGCTGCCTGCCCGAGCTTCTTGGCCGTCCAAATTTCCCGGCGAAGATTTCTCCGCATGGAAGAATCGCTTGAAGGCAACCATAATGGTGTCACCAGCTGCAGCTAAACCATATGGATAGATTTGGTATGGCTGTGATGTGTGTGTGGCAACGCTCAAGTGCGTGCGGAGATATGTTTATGGTAACAATGCGACGATACTTTCGGACGTTAGAATACGAGCTTCTCGAGGGATGACGATGACGATCAGATCGGAGAAGATGAATGGAGGAAAGGAATGTAATCTAGAGCTGCTGTCATGATAACGTCTAACTCATAACGAAGTCGCTGAACGCAAGAGCACTCCGTACTCGAGATAATGAAGGAGTGATGAGAAGGAAGAATGACGGGGAGAGGGAGAGCGAGGAAGCTGAGAGAAGAGAAAAGCAGCATCGATGAACAAAGAATGGATCGTCTACGTGGGATAGCTGCCCGGTTCGCAGATCCGATAATTGTTCGTGCCTGTATCAGGGGTAGAAGTGGTCCAGGTCTCCGTAATCCATCAAGACAAGATGGGGCTGAGCCGGCGGACGGGAGGGGACCAGTGAAAAGAAATTGCGAGCTAGATGCGCATTGCGCCGGTCACGCTCGAAGACCATGGCTCTGCGATAGTTATTTGCCCTAGTCGAATGGCGCGGTCTGAAGTGCTTATACAGATTACAGGGACCCCCTCCTCGTGGCCATTGTGGAATCCCAGCGGCCAGTGCCCAGCACACAATCGAAGCAGCTGTGCTGACTGGCGACTGTGTAGAACGTGCAGCAGAGCAAAGCCCTAACGTCCTCATACCCACTATGCATAAACCTAGAATCCCGAGTCCACCTGACAGCGAGGGCGTCGAAATTGGATCTGCACGACGTGCGGTCGAGCTAGTACCGCCATCATGCCAATATTAGCAAAAGATCCAGACCTGACGTTATTTACCAGGCACATACGGTAACCATAGGCCGGCCGACAGCAGAGTGGGTCGGGGTCGAGGAGGTACAGAGTTCATGGGACGAGGAGTTGACGGCTTAGGGCCATGGACCAACCGACCGCGCGCACCAGTCAGAAGCCGAGTATTCGCGCGGAATGGAGCACACGAACACCTATGAAATTAGCGCGGAGAGGATGAACGTGCCCTTGCACCTATCGGGTAGTTGATCGTCCACCAACAGCGAACCACGACCTGGTCACTAAGCGGGAAGGCCTCGTTCGAGCCGAGTATCAGCATATCCCGGGCGTGTACTATGGTAAAGCCCGCCCCATTCACCGTATCGATTGACAGGGGCAGGTCATGTTAGATGCCCGACCCTGGGCCGCTATTGGAAGCCCAGCACTAACGGAGGGATGTGACAGTGCCGTTTGACACGACGACGTTGGATCCCTATATTTGCTTTTGTGACAGGAACATTTTTTTTTAAAATTAGCTGTTCCACTCTCGGTGTTCTCGTCACACATGCCCCTCTTTTGATTGATTTTTTGTTTATCGCTGGAAAGTGGAAGCCGCAGGGGGCTCACCACGAGCAAGCTGGGAAGTTTAAATGACTATGAACCATGCATCGGAGATTAAACCATCCTCTTAGATTGAGGGGAATGGAGCAAGATCGCGCATCTCAGGGGCTGAAACGCCGAAGCGCGATGGCTCCATGCTTGCTTGGGAAATCAAAAGATGCGATCATGGCGGAAAAGACTGGAGACTGGGTGGGATAGGATGATGGAGACTCTTGGAGATGGAGAAATTGAATGTTGACAAGGAAGAGAGACCATTCCAAGGCCGAACAAGACAAACGCCGCAAAAACAGGTCAGGGGACTGGAGCCAATCACGGGGGACACCCGCCGGACCAGACCTTTCCTCGCTGGGAATTATCCCCGGCGGCCGGGAGTTGATACTGCCAACTGCTTCCCGATGAACTTTTATGCTTAATAGTTATGTCTACATTTTACGGAGGAGATTCAAAAGTATCCAATTTCTATGGCTGTCCCGAACTGAAGTGTAACCTTGTTCAATAGTGGAAAACCTGATCCATGGACCATATAATTATACATGGACTCCTTCTCCTCGGAGCTGGGATATGAAAGTATACCCGTACGATAATAAACAAGGTATTCATAATCGACATTGTCAGTCTCCCCTACACACGTACTCACGCCTCCCAAATCTCATCTACTGCATACCCTGCATATCCATTATTCATCTTTTACCTCCAACAGCTCCACTCAGCCTTAGATTAGTTCCAAACGGAGATATGATTCCGACTAGATTAGACGGGGGCAGACGCGCAAGAAAATACGTATCTAGACCGTACCTGATATCAAGAAAAAAAAAAAAAAAAAAAAAAAAAAAAAAAAAAAA